AAGAGTTACGCGTGAGATTTCAATTTCAGTTTGTAGAACTAACTTTAAAATTCTACCGAGCACCTTTCCTGATGACATGCATACTTATATTGTACTTGATGGCCAACAGTGGTTTAACTTCTGTCGCTCACAGAACAGTTCACAACAATCGTCAGACGCATAATAGAACTACCCGAGCAACCATTCAGTCTTGAAAAGTTCCTAAAGTAAGAACGAATTAAGGGATACCGATTTGAATGCTTTCGAAATTTAAACGACTTATCTTCTGCAGTCAGCTTATTCTTACTGGTGCAAGTATACAGAACAAATATCCCAAAAAACGGGTGACATTACCTGCATTCCAATTAATAGTTAAATCTTTCAGTTGATTTGTTGGTACCATCTGTATGTTGATATTAAAATCAAGAAAGGGTTGCTACAAAGAGTGTCACGCAACCCCAGTTTCGGAACCGTTGGCCTCTGCAATATCCATCTGGCGGTTTACTTATAAGGAATACTGGCCGTATTTTTAAATGTCTGGAATCACACTCAAAGAAGAGACCATGAAAAAAGATGCAGCCATGAATGACCCGGGGAATAATCTGACATCTCCGAAGGCAATGCTTGTTATGAAGTAGGGGTAGTTGGTGGATGCTCTCCAAGATTACTTTTTGTTAATCAGAATAACCGAACTGGAGATAATCAAGGTTAGTTGGATGAAATAAAATGTTGCGACAACAAGTGAAGAGACGCTGACGGTGGGCCTGTAGTGGGAACTTGTGGAGATTCAAGGTAGTGTACTGGAAACACTGTGGGTTATTCAAAGGAATGGTATATCTCTTTTTGATTGGCAGGTTAATTTGCTTAAAGTTAGATCTTTCCAGCTTTGTATTGGTTCTCCCTTAGAAGAGTTCACTTTTAGACTTTTACTTTGCTCTCCATAGGTGACCAATTGAGTATTGAGTGAGTGTGACGAATCGCCTCAGGGGCCAATGCTGTAAATATTTGCCTGTTCCCAACGTTACTCCGACACGTTGTTTCCTTTTTCAGTCCCCGTACGTGTATCGAAAGAAAGGAGCATATCAATCTGGTTAAAACAAAAAACCTAACTGTTTGAATTGTGCACACTACACGACACTGCTAATAATCTTGATAGTCTGGACCGCATACTGCTTGTCGTAGCTTCACGCCTTTCTTTAAACCAGTTAATTGCCTCTAAAGTCATGAAGTTCTGTTAGTAAAGTTGGCTGGAAACTGAGAAAATATCCAAACCAGAGAACGCTTGCATGAGTTTGGTTTATCAGTTGCCTTATCACTTGCTCCGCTGTGCAACATATGGATAAGAATGTCGGCAGTTATCTGCCTTCTGTCAATTTTAAAATGTCCCATTTAGCGGATTTAACGCAACAGCATCCATTTGTTTGACAGCGTGCATGATATTTGCTGGTATGTATTGGAGGTTAGTACTGGATACTAATAAAAAACGCTTGTCAGATATTCCATCAATCAGTAGATCTGTTCTGTCAAGCTTTGTGCATTAAATACTTACTAGAAGTGAGTAAGTTTTCTTAAACGTCTGGTGAAGAAACTGCTTCTCTAAAAAAACTGAACACTATTTTGAACAAATTTTCTGAAAAGTTTTCGCACCATTCAGTGAAGACATTACAAGCGCTCGAATACTGGCCACAAGTAAGTTTAGCTAGTCCAGTGGCTCCAAACAACTACCGGCGTAGCTGACAAGCTCGCTGATACTTAGCTGATACAGCTAGAAGAAAGTAGTCTATCTTCTGATAACCCCGAAAACCTGTTGCATCTAACGTTCGTAATAAGGAACCAGTAGCACTTCTTCAAACCATGTACACCTCAACAATGAGAATTGCCGAAAACCTGACGGACGGCTAGCACCTTTGGAAGCAACTTTGTTGTGTAGTGGTTGGTGACCAAAACCACGTGTATGGTATGATAAGTGACTTTGTGGAACAAATGAAATGCCATTTGAAATCAATACAGTTTTCTGCCACCGAGGATTCTAGAGCGCATTAATGCTAATTAGCGTTTCTTAGATAAACTGTTGAATATATCCTCTGTTCTGGAACAGTTTGGTTCAGTAATGAACCTCATTGAACTCTGCTTCAAGCCGCTCTTGGTCTTATCGTCTTCGACTCACCTTAAGACAGGTAAATCGGCTTGCTCAGTTATGGTTACCCGGTGAAAAACTGATAATTCTCCCTCAACCACAAAAAGCCACATCTAGGTGGTAGTCTATCGTCGAACGACACAGGCCTACGCATAAAGAAAACGCATTTATGCCACCCAATAAATATCAACGCAAAAGAATTTGTTTAGCATACGATTCCTCTCGACCTCTTGGGATCCGTTTAGACCCTGGAGAAAGGTTCCTGCTTATATGAATTCCTTGATGTTGTCTCTATAGGATCGGGGGTCACAATTTCAGATGTCTCCAGGTATCCTATGACTAGCAGAGGACTGAGCCATTTTAGATGCCTCAATCTCTGAGATGGATGTCAAAGTGAACCGAACAACATATCCTGAGTGATGGTGTACTTCTGCGAGTCGCTTTATAAAAGTAAGGCTAACGATTCTGAGTTGGCCTCCATTAGACCCTGTACCAGAAGTTTTTTTACTATGGGGTCTGTGAATAACGAGTACCATCAACTCGATGTGCACAGGAAACGCAGATGGACCTTCTGTAGGAATAAATGCTAAGTTTGAAAAGCTCTATGAGAGGCGTGCCGAAACGAATGGAAATAATTATTTCTGTCTTTTTCTGATGGTGGGAAGGCTGTCTGATTTCGAACCATCGAAAAACCAAAAAAATTTTGAACCCGACTCAGAATTGTATAGTTTGTTCCTACGAACTAAAAAGGCTTTATTGATGGTTTGCCTTGCATGGTCGTTTGGACTGAGGACAGCGCAAATGGCACCCATTCGAAACAGCACTGAATAGCTCACAACAACAGCACTATTGACCTAGTCGCTGTTGCCTGTCCGAGAAAGAGTAGGTCTACTAGGGATAGTTATTTATTCATTGACGCAGCATTCCTCTACGCTAAACAATGATGCACTGAAGATGTCATCCGGATTGCTGATGAAGTATTCGCAATTCAGCTCAGCAAACAAATCAGCGGTCAGTGACGATTGTTCACGTGTCTTTAATTAGTGTCAGGTGTTGTCCGGCGTAATGACAAATTTTATTACGCTTGGATGCACCTGATAATGACACGGTTTGATAATTCGTAGGCTGTACGTATATTTCCATATTGCAGGCGAGAAACATTTGTCTGTTCAGGTCGTTTGTCAACTGTTCACCCACGCCTCTAGTATCCATATGCGCTTCTATGTGCCAACGAAAACAACCAGTTGAGATGGGCCATTGCTTAGTTAATGATGGATGTCGTACTCTCTCCATCACGCTGAATTTCAACTACACTGTTCGCAACAACTACTCTGTAGCGTTCGCCACGGCTAGGAACACGGATAGAGGTAGGATATTTTTGCAAGTCGCCAACCCACCAGTTAATTAGGCAACTCACGTAACCATTTCACAGGGGTCTGCTGCCAGACCAGATAACTTGCATCTTTAAAGCACAGGACGTGGTGAATGTATGCTCTGATGGGTCGCTACGGTGCAGAGTACTGTCTCCTTTTTGTTCTGCAGCTTTTCTATTCTTTTTATTTGGGATAGTGCTACCGCAAAGCAGAGTGATCTGAAACCAACACTGCTATTGAGAGTAGCACCAACATTCTGTGGTGTGCTTGACAACATCGCCAAGATTAAGTCAGTCGGGGTACACTACAAACCCAGCAAGACCTTCCACTGACGAACTTTAGAGGTCTCTTCTGAAGAATTATCTTTCCTGAATTTTCAGCGAGAAGTTCCTCTGATCACGGTCATTCTTCTTCCAAAGTGTGTGACCGTCTCCTTATCTGTCTTTTGATGCTTTTGGTAATGCGCAACGTTCCTTGGTATTAACTTTTTCGTGTCAGTCTGACCAAAACGGCGAGTGAGAAAAAACAAGAAATCACAGGTATTTCGGTTAAGCACCTAAGGCTTTTCTACATGAAGTCGGGTGCTTGTTTTTCATGACTGCACACGGTCGTTTAGTGGGAAGGTTTATGGGGTGTCGGTTCGGTTAAGCGGCGATGTTGACCAGGTTTTCTGCATATCCGGGTTGGCTTCGTTTCGTTGTTATTATCACACCTGTCATATCCAATGAAGCTGACATGCTCACATCCGGATTCACTACGTGGTGCTTTGCTCTGTATTGCGAGGATGTAACATTCAGTGGAAAAGCGCAATTGGGCCGCACGACAAAAATTTGCACACCAACCAAACGAACGACTGAACCTGCTATGACGTTAAACAAAAATTGAAAGTGAAAGTGACGAGCTAGAAACGAATCATCAGTGTAACAATTGTGTAAGGTACAATGCCTCCAATCTCTCTACGAACGTCGATTGACTACCCATGTACTTGTTCCGGGTGTTCATTACTGTTTGCTTGAACTAACTTCTGGTTACGCCTAGAGGATGGTGTGGAGACAGGCTACTTACCAAGACAACAGTCTATAGTGCTGTGACAGAGCCGTTAGCATGATCAGGTACGCTGACTAAGTGCTACGGATTACGCATCCAGCCCAATTTAGAGACCTAGTGACTGAAATCAAGGAACGAAATTTGGTGCATAGAAAAACGTCCGTAAAAAGCAAAGAATGATGAATGTGGACCAGATTGTGCATTCGTTTAAGTCGCGGGGAGATTTCGCTTACTGGCATGACGTCGAACAACATCGACCAGTCACTCCAAACGACGGACTTTTGACCAACGAGAAACAGGTGCCTTCACGTACGGAACTAGAACGACCCAAATGCTTTCGTTACACCTTCGACTTCTAAAGTCGGTCCTCCATGGCACCATTTGGTTCAAACAGACTTAATCACAATATGGCTTCGATCATCGAATGATGAATAGCAACCCTTTTTAGTTTAAAGCGAACTCACCTTCCAAAAGATTCAGCTAGCGAGCCACATACGCCTGCTCCTATGGCCCCAGCGACTACAAACACCGTGCTGAGTTGTGCATACAGAAATGAGGGCTTGATCAGTTTGGTGGTTTGTTCCGCTGTATCCAGATCCATATGCAGGATGGTCTCTGATAAGAACGATTTGACATACTGGAAGTCAAAACGAAATGAATTTCAATACATAAATTATTGCCAACTAGCAAACCAAATGCAAAGTGTAATAAAATTATTCCAAATTATTTAACGTGTATAAAGAAAGAATCAGTTAGCGCCAAAGAAGAATCACCAGATTGAATTTTCTCACAGTGGTCAAGTGTTGTTGGGGCTAACTTTGAACATGATACATTTTCAATCACTGAGAAGCATCTACCTTTAAGTTCGTGTGGAAGTGTACCTTAACCACAGGATGATGGAAACTAGAAATATCCAATGGGAATGGTGAATCAGTTGACGCCTGAGTGCTGACGGTGCGACTCGTCCTCCAGAATGGGATAATCGCGCTCCAAACTGTACATGATGCTAATCGATGTCATTGGCGTTTTTGTTGTCAGTTTCTATCCAGGTGTCTGAATTTTCGTGTGGAAGTGTACCTTAACCACAGGATGATGGAAACTAGAAATATCCAATGGGAATGGTGAATCAGTTGACGCCTGAGTGCTGACGGTGCGACTCGTCCTCCAGAATGGGATAATCGCGCTCCAAACTGTACATGATGCTAATCGATGTCATTGGCGTTTTTGTTGTCAGTTTCTATCCAGGTTGTCTGAATTAGTGTATGGAGGTGGAGACATCTAGAGATAATCGTGGTAAGCTAGCACTAAGTCACCTACCCATCTACTTTTATTCTTTTCTTGACAATAAGTCCTTCAACTTATGGGGCAGCAAAGCAACGCTGTTGAACGCTGATTCTATGCTATCGATGATGATAACGGTGATGATCGACTTACTGTTTCAACATGGCATTTGCTTTTCTTCTATCGTTATTTTACGTATGGCTTGTGAAGAGGACATCCAAATGGGAGTATATTTTGTCTCAAAAGGATTTTAATTTCTTAATGCTGGAATGAAGTCCCAGCAGTCCCTTAAACCAGACAACCAAGTAGGCCTAGGTGTTTGGAAGGCAAGTGCATTCATGGGATACTATTCGAAATTTAAGGTTGGTGGTGCAACCTTACATGTACACAAAAGAAGCCTTATGATACACAACGACATTTATCCACTGTAACAAACGGACGCTTCCATTAAAAGGAAAACAAGTGGCAAGATTATAGAGGATGGTTCTTTAATACACAGATAATCCCGTCTTTGGGGTATCTTGCTTTGTTGAGGGAGGGGTGGCATCACATCGGTGGGAGTCACCATCACTATCACTGATGCAGTTTGTCAGTTCATGCCGAATGCAACAACTTTCACACATCAATGGGGCACCAATGGACACTATCTGACCATAAGTGAACAGATATTCGGATGAACACGGGTTATTTTACCTCCAAACTATTTACCGCGAACGTAAACGCCGATGATGGTTTCAAATCTACATCTATCGCTGTAGATCATCGGACAGTTCGATGCTCTCTAGAAGTCTCTTGTTTAGAAAAAATCCACGTGGGCATAGAATGAGACAAACTTGAATCACGTACATCAAAGTACACTTGGATTGTGTTCAAATAATCTATGCTGTCGCACCAAGGGGATTCAAAATAAATTTTATTAACAAAGGCTTAGCCTAGAGGACCTAGTCCTTTTGGTGCCAAAATACAGTATGTATTACTTCCCAATAACAAAGTTAGGGACTCTTGTTCTGTGTGTGCTTGGGGATTATTACTTTTGGAATTTTGTTATGTGCTGGTCTTGGTTGCGGGTGCCGTTTGAAACGGTAAAAAAATTTCTGAGTCGTAAACGAGTATTCACAAATGTCCATTGGCGTTCTCAGTTTGGAGGGGGACCATCTGTACTGGCCTCGTAACTACCCTCTTATTTGAATTGATGAGTCGTGAATATATTTGTCTTCAGAACGCTTATGTACTTCATAGAACATAAGGTTGACGGAAACTCGGGGACTGCGCCTACCTGATGAGCCCCAAGAAGGGCGAAACAGGTCGTGGGCTGTCGAAGAATTTTCAGCAACCTTGTGAGTAGTTTCCTTTATGAAAATAGTTCTAAAAATGTCCTCAATTTTCCGTTGCTTTGCACCTGAATCTGTTTGAGGTATCTGTTCGAGGTTCGCGTCCAGTCACATTAATATGTTTTCAATAGATCAATAGAAAACCAACAGCATATCGCTGGATGGCACAACAAGGGAGTTTTTCACTTAGTATTCGACCATAAATAGTGGGCTTGTCACGATTTATTTCCATTTCTCGAAAACATCCAATTTCATTTTAGTAAAGCTGCCATCACGGTGATTTTGGATACTACACGCGGAAACGCGAAATTGTCAGTTCTAAAAGCAAACGAACGATGGCCATCGTTTTCTACACCAAATGTATGCGACTCAAAAAGCCACGTCTAACTGGATTCAATCAAGCAGTGCATTTGGGATCCGTTCGTTTCTATGCTTACTAAAAATTTTGAATTATGTATGTATATATATATATATATATATGGGGAAATAGCTGAAAGAGGTTTCGCTTTTGGAGGTGATGGGGGAAAGCTTTCTTTGTAGGCCATCTATTGTTGCGTTCTAGGTATGCTGACAGAGGTTCATGTGAAGTTACTTCTACTGGGGAGTGCCTGTATACTGGGAGGTTCCATTTTGGAAGGGGGGAATGTTGTACCTAAAACCTATTCAAAATTCCCATATCCCCCGCGGCTATCGTACATCAGCTGGTGGTCATTTCCTATTGATCAGATTAGATGTTTCTTCTAAAAGTTAAACCTTGGAATTCACACAGTTAAAATGGGAAACCGTGGGTGGTATGCACCTCGGTAAACATAATTGTCAGGCCGATGAATTTGAGTTCTGGTTCTCAACTAAAGGACCAAGTGCTTTGATATGTGGAGAACGCGATAAATGTGGCACTTACTAAGAAAGAGTTTATTGTGGGAACTCCCAGATGTCTCTTATTGACAAAAAGATATATTTTCCTGGCAAAACACACCACTCACAAAGCTGATGAAAACTGTTCGACGACACAGCATCAGTTTCGGCTTTTTCGAGGCCCTCTAAGCCGGCATGGTCCCCAAGTTTTCATTATTCTTGTGTTCCACTTGAACGCCTAACTGTACGCAAACTGACAAAATACACGGGAAATTACTTAGCCTGAACAAAAAACTCAACTGAATCTTTCATTTTTGACATTCTTCACTTGAATATGCTAAAAGAAGGCTGCCTCATGTTTCATTCAATTCGATGTTTTAGATATCGCGGCTGAAGAATATCGTAAGACAGAAACTCAGTGGATTCTCTCGTTACTACGAAACGCGTTTGCAAATTGTCGCATTTGGTCAAATACGCCTGTTTCATGTGGTTCAATGAATCGATTAATGATTTCTAACATCTATCCACTTTGTTTACACTGAAGTTTGTTTTGTCCGATATGGACATGAATGTTTCCAAAGAGCTCTAGGAGAACAGTGTACGTTTTGTTTCCAAGTTGCGCATGCGTGGGAAGACTGAAGTTAACCATTAGTTTAGGTAAACACTATCAACTGGAAGAACAATGCATCACGCTTTCTGCTTTGATAGGCTTCATTAAATACTAGCTGTACCATACGGACGAACTGAATGTGCGTGATGTGTGGCCTCAGATATTATATACTGAAGGTTACGCACTCCTCTTCCTCTCCGTCTCTCACTCTGTTGCTAAAGCACTGCTGTAGGGACGTGATTCTTGATCCATGAAACCCGAAAGTAAACGGTTATTTACTGCACAGCCTGGTGGCAACCTTGATTATGGCGGGGGCTTTCTTCCGTGACCCATTAACCTATCCCTCATCCAACCCCTTCTTTTGATTTCCATTTCTCTAAAATGTATGTAACCCCACGTATATACATATATATATATATATATATATAAATTTGTGATGTATTTGCCAAGAGGAACAATCACAGAAAACAAGCTTTGTTCACTACCTTCTTCGTTCTCATGACTACCACGGGCATATTCAACCACTTTCTTGAATTTGAAAACTATAAAACGAAGGAGGGAGTAGCCTGTGGAACATGAAGGGGGTTTGTGAAGGATAAAAACGGGCAGTTACTAGAACTGGGGGGGGGTATTCGTAAAGTAATTTCATTCGAAAGTTAGTTCTGTCTCCGGTCTTCATTCACACCATATTTCTCAGTTGAGGTTCAAACTATCCCTTTTTCTGGTGAAGGCCGTTACCTCTAGATTCAGAACATTATCCAGTTATAACATAGTCGCTATTTAACATCACGCACGCACTGGCAGAGAAAAACAGTTCCTTCACGCGTACCGAACGTTGATGTTTAGCGCTACCGACCAACCAGGTCAGCCGTACGTTTCTGCTGGTTGCAGCTGTTGGTGCATTGTTGGACAGGATATCAAAGATAACGGGTGGTATTCGGTGAATAGGATTCAGAAAACGGGCGCTAAACCGTCCCGTTACATTGGTATGGCAATCGGACATACCCAAAAAACTCGGTACATCTGGTGACGCGCAGGAGTTCCCAGTAAACTGAGAACCGTTTAACCTGCTTATAAAGCTTCAAATCCGCATAACTTTTCGACGCCACAGGAAAAACAATGTTCGATGGCACGTCACAGTGGCCGGAATTGAAACGCCCGTCTCCTTCAGAATAAAAGGTATCGTTATTTGCACTTGTGACGGAAACTGGCACTTTCCTTGGACCGCATAACAATGCCGAAGCGTTAGAAAATCAACCAGGTTTTGTGGATCTGGAAATTTAGTCTTTTTCTGAGGATGGCAAAAGTTGATTTTCACAATGAAAAGGGAATATGATGTCGTATCCTGTCTGATGAATCTGTAGGGTCTCCAAAGTATTTGAACAGTTAGATTTTCTTCTATTTTTGCCCTACAGAAATTATAGACACAGACCCGTACGAAAAACACAAGGGAACTTTGTTTGGACGTAATACACCACTCTTAAGGTTACTGAAAACACTCCGAGAGCTCACAACTGGCCTCGCTCTTCTTGGAACGCATCAGTTAAGCATCTTCTCCTG